ATGACACCAATAGTTTAGAATGTACAGTATGTCACATGGAGGATCATAGTTCCATTATTGGACCATTTTTATTGCTTATGAGTAATGTTCAACAAAACGTTGCTGAGCGTATTTTGTGCATCCATCTTGAAGGAATTTACGAGACTCTTGGAGAGACGTGAGTAGAAGCTACTGAGGGAGGTGATGCAGCTAGCTCTGCGTTTCAGAGAGGAAGACCAAGGTAAGTGATAAAAAATAGGAATGACGGCTTATGCAGTGGAAAACTCATAATCTCCATTATAGTTATTGTTACTTAGTCAATAAATGCTTTTTTGTTGTTGTTCTTCTTCTTCAAGGTGCAACATTTGAGCTGTTCTGCTGATTTACATGGCAGACTTAGAATTTAGCTGGGTAGGCATATCTCGAATTCTGTCTGTAAATATTCGAACACTGTAGAACCGTAGGCTACAACTTGGTTTGGTGGACTATGGAAATTTTACCAACATTTCAGACGATGATCTTGATCGTCTTACTGCTGAGGTACTGAGTCAAACCCCCGACTCTGGAGAGACATATGTTACTGGCAGCTTGAGAGGGAGAGGGATGAGAGTTCAGCGATGGAGAGTGCGAGAGCATCGGAGCTGATCCAGTGGGAAGGACAAAGAGCAATTCAACGGAGGGTCTACAATATCTCTGTCCCAAACCAAGTGTGGTATGTCTTCTTTTTAAAATGATCATTAAACTAAATATATTGAACATTAAATTCATTGTTCCACAGCTGTTAGGTTGAGCATGTCATAAGGAAAGTTTTAAGGATTTAGGAAGACCATGTTAGATGATGTTTTTCTGTTTCTTTATGTGACATGTCATATTGTTTTGAAGGCTTCTATCATAAGCCTTGTGACCGAACATAACACTTATCAAATAAAAACAAGGATTTTGTTTAAATGTAATAACAAGGCTTCATGTATGCCAACAAAGTAAAACATGATTTATTTTTTTTTAAACTCTGAGTCTAATCCTGAACTCTGAGTTGATCTACTCTGAGATAGGAAACTCTGAGTTTCTGGTTCCAGAACAGTGGATTTGAGTTCGTTTGATCAACTCGGAGTAGTTTCACCTGGAGTTAGGCGCGTGCACCACAACTATAAAAAGCCAGTATCAATGGAGCCCCATTTCGACAAGTCACCATGGCAACAGGGAAGCGGAGGGTTGTGTTTTTCACCTCACTAGAATTGGAAATCTTAATGCACTACTACGGTGAGTTTGAACACGTTTTTAAAAAGAAGTGCAGCACCGCTGCAGCTGCAAAACAGAGGGAGACGAGGTGGGAGAACATTGCTGCTTGGCTCAATGTGTAAGTTTAAACGTCGTCCTTTGCAATCACAATAATATTACAGGAAAACTGCTGGAATGGTAGCCTATTCATTTATTTAATTTAGGTGCAATCCTGCGGGGGACAAGCGCACTTGGTAGCAGCTTTAGATGAAATATAAAAAATGTGTTCAAGTCTGAGGTTGCAGCATAATGTCATTAACAGAGTATAATTTAAAATTCATTTAACAGATCTCTACATTATTCACCTGCAACCCTGTGGAACTCCTCCTTGATGGCTCTGACAGGTTTATGTCCAGGAAAAACGACAAAGATAGATAAAAGTCATTTCAGAGTGAGGCAACTTTTCTGACTGTCCTGCATACAGTTGCCTTACTCAAGTGCTCTGCATCTCCGACATTGTACAAAACACTTCCATTTGCAAAGAGACGCAGCGCAACACACAGTATCTGCTGGGATGTGAGAGCATGACTATGGCTGGTATTGTTGCAAATGTAAGGATGGGTTAGGTTGTGTATGTAGATGATGGACTGTGACGTGAAACTGTACCGCTCAAAAAGATAACTGTCTGGAAATACTAGAACATCTATGCGCGGTCTAATAACCATCTCCTGACGAATATTTAATTCTGTGTGCAGTAATGCTGCACCTTCATCCACGGGACCGTTAGTGAACAAAGTTGCCACCTACTGTGCCTAATGGACTTCTAATACAGCCTACTGACTCTGACTTTTTAAAATTGTTTTTGACAGACGGTAGAACTAGGCTACGCCAAAACTCGCCCACTGACTGAATGAATGAATGAGGAAATCAAATAGCGTGTGTGGCTGAAAGAGGGCTGAGACAGAGAGAAACTCAAGGTTCATTGAGAAAGACATGGTCCCAACCAGGTTAGGTTCATAGAGTTTGTTACTACAGCAACTGACCGAGGTCTGAAGTTACCTCATCAATTTACGGCAGCTGCTTTGTACAAAGTCTCTTTTTGCCTGTTACCTCACCATTAACGATATAGAAACCAAAACATTTCCACATACTGCTTCACAGATGTTTTGGTGTCAAAATTGTGCACTCTGGCCGCCTATGCTCACTAGTGTGCTCCATTTTTGTAGCAAACAACATAATATTACTCGCTTATTTTACTACCAGGTCAATAGGGCAGGTCATAGGTCATGCTGATAGTGAAGGTTTACAAAGCCCTCTGCTGGATCAAACAGCAAACTACATCACATTATCTGTTGGGCTCATAGTACATTTTGAATTCAAACCTGTCATTAAAGTTAAAATCTAATATATATTTCCAACATTTAATACAAAGTGAGAACCCTAATCTCCAGTAAACTGGTTCTGTAAAGCTAAATAAAGCTCTTACCTGCATTCAAAAAATCTGACAGATTTGGCTCTGTTATTCTGACAAATTTCACTTTGAGCAGCATGTTCTCTGCAGAAAGTATACAGCACATAAGCAGGATCAGCACAATGTAATAGAGGTAAAAGTCCACATGCTCATTCTTACACTAAACAAAAACAACAAAATAAGTTTGACACTGTCATGCACTGTCACATTTCTCTATATAAAGCAATCCCAAATGCCTCCTATTTAGAATCAAAACATACTTTACTATTATCAGCCCTGGCCACTTGTCTACATATTCTGACCTGAGGTTGTCAAACATCATCAACTCAAATGGTTTTTCAATAATAACAACTGTAGTAGCGCGACTACTGCGACATAATATAAAATTATGTGTAAAATGTCAAATGATGTGTAACCCACAAAAAAGTTATGCAGCTGCGGTTGTTATAAGTTATATTGTATGAAACGCCATGTTCCTGGTTGTCCATGAAGGCACCTTGTGGTCACGTGACAATTCACGCACACACACGCTCTAGACAGTTCAGCTAGTCCCATTCTCTGGAGCACTATACAAGCTGTCTGTGCTTCTCCTCTGACAGAAGTGTTGGGAGAGAAGCTACAGGAGGGCTGCTGTGGCTCAGGTGGCAGAGTGGGTGGTCCTCCAGTTGCAAGGTTGGCAGTTCGAAGTATCCTTGGGCAAGACACTGAACCCAAAGTTGCTCCCAATGGCAGGCAGCACCTTGCATGGCAGCTCTGTCACCATTGGTATATGAATGTGTGTGTGAATGGGTGAATGAGAAATACATTGTAAAGAGCTTTGGATAAAAGCGTTATATAAGTGCAGAGCATTTACAGCAGGTTAGTCTCGCGCAATTTTTTGTTGCTTTATATACTGGGTATTTATATACTCTCCAACCTCTCCAACTAGTAAGTAAGCATACCATCGAGTGTTTGTGAACGACTCTGAAGAGACGTATTGAGGCACTCCAATTCCTCTGTAACCTCCAAGACAAGCAGAAGACCAAGAACTACATTGCCCTTTTGCAATCTTTCGAGCAAGCCATTTGCCCTGCTGGCTGAATGTGACTTACCAGATGCCATTTACCCTAAAGCAAGCAGTACTGGCTGATACAAGCTCAGTAGTGAACGAATGGCACCTGTACATACAGTCCACCTCGTGGGACACAAGGGCCTGATAGACTGGGTAGGCCCACTCTCTGCTTTTGCAATATCCTGAAAAATGGACTTTATTTCCATTGACTGGCCAAACAGAACTCCCAATTCATGAGCCCACTGCAAAGAGTCACGAACAACAGAAGAGGCTGTGCATGAATGTTGTGTGATTAGGTTCACACAATGGGCCCCGCAATGTACACAAGGAGCCAGAGGTTGATGCTTCCTGATAATGGCCTGTGCTCCTGAATATATCCCTGCCATGTTTACAGCACCATCATAGGTTTGCCCTCTCAACCCAGTGATTGACAAATTCAGACGAAGCAGTAAATCCATAATAACCTTTGCAAGATTTTCTCCTGTGGTCACAGACACTTCATACATGCCAACAAATTCCTCATGAACCATCAGATCATGATCAACATATCTCACACATACTGCCTCCTGCTCCTTTCCTGACACATCTTGTGTTCCATCCATAATCACAGAAAACTGCAGTTGCGGATGTGACCTGATGTTATCTGCGATTTCACAAATTCTTGAGTGGCTCAATATAGTCAGGATCTCATTTTGAACTTGGGGGCATGTATAGTCCATTCGGGAACTCAGCCATTTCCTTAGATCAGGATCATCCTCAGATTTGTATTTCAATAGCTGTGCAAAATTTCCTTCACTGTCATCATGCCCTCTTAGAGCTAGACCCTGCCTTGCCAAGACCTGCACAGCACTGACTATTTTTAACAGACAGGTTCGTGCCTCCTCTTGCTGTGATGCCTTTACATTAGACAGTTGCACATCCACTGATCTATTCTCATATATTTGCATTGTTAAGGCTATTTTGTGACATTCTGATAGAGCATGTAATGCAAACCTTTCACGACCCTTCTTCCAGTTTTTAAAACCAGTGGAAATTAATGTATTCTCTGTGTTTTTTGCAAGCTGTGGTGTTTTCTTTTCAAATTCTTTGCGACAGTAAAAGCACAACGCTCCTTCAACACCTGGGATAAAATGAAGCCAAGGGAAGTCCTGATACCATTGACTATGAAATCTTAGAGTTTTGTCAGACAATCTCTGAACTACAATGGTCTTAGGATCTGGCTGATGTGGTTTTAAAGTGGCCACAGAAGATGCTTCCTCTGCTGTATCTCTGTCTGACTCTGGAGCTTCTCCCTGCCTGTCAGTGCTGCAGCCTGGTCTCTCCCCTGACACCTGACCATCTCCCTGTGCTGCCTATTGCAATACAGACAAAAACATTTTGTATAAATAAAACTGGTTGTGACGTTGCAGTGGAAATGCTCATCTTAGAGTCACTCTTATCCTGTTTACATCTCCATAGCCAGATATATGTTCTCTTGCAAGAATATAGATAATAACTGTGCAAAGCAGCATTTAAAAATAGAATTAATAGTAGTGGTGAGGAAATGAATCACAAAGTCAGCTTTATGCTATTGTTCTATTCTTTTCTTACCTGTGTCCCTGCACAATCCTCCCTACTGCCCTCTGGTCCACCGTCTCCTCTCTCACCTGCTCTTTCTATTGTGACAATGAAGATTTAAAAATATGTGGAAAACAACATTGTGAAATAGTATTAGGAATACAGTAGTAGTAGTAGAATTTAACCTCAAAATCCCTTTGATGCTATTGATATTTCTCTCAGCCAGTTATAACAGAGACATTATGAGGACTTAATTCATAATTTCTCCTCACCTGCTGTGAAGACCCTCCATGTCCAACCCTGCTGCTGGCCTCTGGCCCACTGCCTCCTCCCTCACACTGCTCTTTCTATTGTATAAACATTAAAAAATATGTGCAAAACAATAGTGAGCACATGTTCTGTACAGAAATGAAGGAGGAGTGGGTTTATAATCAGCTCACTTAGCTAACTAAATTGACATTTAGTTAGAGTCCTGCACTGTAACTCAACCTAGGAAGAATGTCTCAGGTTCATCTTGCACTGCTTCTCTATTGAAGACATCACTTACTTTAAAGGTGCGGCATACCACTGTATAGTGGCCTTTTTTACCACACTTGCGGCATTCTGCTCATCTAGCTGCACACGTATCGTTCCTACTGTGCAGCTGTCCACACCTTGAACATTGTCCTCGGGCTGTTCCTTCAGAACAGTGCTGCCTGGAGGAGCTGAAACGGTCCTCTCTCCTCGGTGGTTTAAAGGCACCACTTTTCGGTCGTGCAGCATAGCCGGCAGTTGGACCCTGTGGGCGGCTCCGTGTCACCTCACCAAACACTGCGGCTATGTTCTGCTGCTCAGAAACTTGCTCCTTAATCTGCTCGAACTTCCTGGCTGCTCTGCACGCCTTTTCCAAAGTTAAATCCGACATCATTTGCAACCTCTGTGACAGCTCTTTGTCCAGAACTCCATTCACCAGTCTGTCTCCTATGTTTTCATTCTTAACGGCTCCAAAATCACAATTTTCTGCCAGTTTGTGTAAATTGCGGACATATTCCTCCACACTCTCACCAGCTTTCTGTACTCTCTGATGAAATCTTTCCCTCTCATGAATTACGTTTACTTTCGGCACAAAATATTTGTCCAGTTTGTCCATCAGGACATCGTAGTTATTTTCATCAGCAGCATTTACATAGACAAAAGTTTTGACAATATGCTCGGCTTTGCTCCTGAGTGAGTACAGCAAGGTACAGACCTGTATTACTCCATCCTCTTTGTCTAGCTTAGTAGCGATCCTGTACCTGTGGAACCTGTTTCCAGTCAGGCCACAGCTCCGGGTGGGCAAAATCAAACTTGTCCGGTAGTGGGAACTTTGCCATAGTTGACTTTTGACACCATGTATGGTTTAATGACCAGTCAGGAGTAACATCGTCTCAACAATTTTATCGGAGCACGTCAGAACAGACATGCGATTGATGCATTCCTGGCATACTTCCTGAATACCTGAGTCACTGCACATGCTCGCCTTCAGTCCCATATCAATACATAACACGCAGCGTCAACTACTCACTATTAAACTCATTACATTACAGCACACCATTCAAGCAACGTGCCCAGCCGATCCATCCACAGGATTTTGAAGCCATCATCATCTAGGTGAGCTTCTGGAAGCTGGTGTGATAAGGGAATCTTCATCTCCTTTTGCATCGCCTGTCGTGGTAGTTCATAAGAAGAATGGGGAAGTCACATTGTGTATTGACTCTTGCAACTAAACCTCCAAACAATAAACGATGTGTATCCACTACCTAACCTGGAAGAATCATTGTCAGCCCTTTTCAGGTTCCAAATGGTTCTCAGTCCTTGATCTAAAGTCTGGTTACTATCAGATCAAGATGTGTGAAGAAGACAAGCTGAAGACTTTGTCACTCCCTTTCAGCTTTTGGCAGTTTAACCAGATGCCCCAAGGTGTCACAAATGCACCAAGCACCTTGCAACGCTTGATGGAATAGTGTAGGGCTGAAGTTGTCACCCGAGAAATGTCAATTCTTCCAGGTATCTGTTCACTGCCTGGGCCACATAGTGTCTGAAAATGGTGTTCAGACAGACCCAGAGAAGATAGAGACCATAAAAACCTGACCAATTCCAACAACACTGAAACAACTGAGATCTTCACTGGGCTTTGCAGGATATTATCGCCACTTCATTAAAGGTTACTCTGCTATAGCCAAGCTGCTCAATGACCTGACTCAGGGATACTGTAAAAGTACCCAAGATCTGAAAAAAGGCCTCTCTACAGTCCAAATCAGCCATTTTGAGAAAGATGGTGTAATGAAAATGTCTGAAAATGTGGAAAACGGAATGCAATCGCAGACAAACTAAACAAATACAAAAACAAGAATTGCAAATGATCCAAAATAGATTCAACCTGTTAGAAAAAGAAGCACGCAGATAAAAAAAGCAGGCTTCTCGTTTATATCCCCCTTTAACAGGAATGAAGGGTCCTCTTCTTGACACTTGCCCACTTCCTCCCTACCAACTGCCGCCACGCCACCCGAAACCGCCACAGCACACAGGCAAAGCAGAAGCACCAGCCATTACTGGGTCCTGTTCCATGGACTAGGGATCGCTATCGACTGGGTCACCGGCCGGTCGGGTCGCAGAGGGCAGTAAGACCATGTTGACGGCTCAATGTACAGTCAGGCCACTACAAGCCGAAACCAAATGAGTTAGTAGGCGAGTAGTGCTTCTGTGATCAGCGTTTTTGAAAAGAAAACACTGAGAAGCAGAAGGCTGAGTTGTCTCCAGGGGAGCATGGGTGGAGAACTCAGTGGAAAGGGGTCTAGCCTGGGACTGCGCCCTGGGAAAGGGAGGTCCGAAGGACCTAAGTGTTCTCTTTCTAAAGATCTGACTGACCAGTGAGAAGATTTAGGGCCTTTCACACTCCAATGTGTACAGGTCACTGACTGGGAACCCACTGATGACTCTGATGACTGTTGTATGTTTCTCTCCCTCTCTGAACACACACAAAACCCCATACACACACGCATTTCCTGTTCTGCGTTCTGTGTACCAGCTTGAGAGTCCCTCTGCAATGTAGAATCTGCTTGACTCTCACACACTCACCTGCCTGTCTGAAACTGTTTAAGCTCCTCCCGAACTAGCTGACATTCTACACAATATTTGGGCTGCACACAAATATGATGTGGGACTCATTAAATCTGCACAGCCAGTGAGCATGAGGGGAAAGTCAAACTATAGGCCAAATCAACCACACTATCCACTCAAACCTGAAGCCATACAGGGCATTAAACCTGTGTTTGATTCTCTTCTTGCCGCAGGTGTAATTGTTCTCTGTCCTGATTCTCCCGTGCGAACTCCAGTGTTTCCGGTGAGGAAAATCCGGGACAATCCACCAGATGACTGGAGATTTGTCCAGGACCTCAGAACCGTCAACGCTGTTCACGCCAGAGCTCCACTCGTCCCAAATCCTTATACCATCCTATGTGACGATTCGTGCTCAGTGACAATGCGGGTGGACCCAAACGAAAAGGGAGACGGGGTGTAGGGTTAAAGGAAACAGGATTTATTTAAGGAAGGGGGTGGAGTGAAGTCTTTGGGGTCGTGATCCGAGGAAGGGGGGTCCCGAGAGTGGTGCACGAAGAGCCGGTGCCTGAGAGTGTCTTGGTCCGTGGGGTTTTTCCTTGTGCAGAGAGGGAGCCGTGACGAGGGAAACCGAGGTGGTGCGCAGGGGTCCGGTGCTCAGGGTTCGGTGCTCGTGGGGAGGTGCTCTTGTAAAGGATCTCCCGGTGAAGGTGTCCGTGGTCGTGGATTCCCGTGGGTGACAAACGCTGGAGTGCTTGGAGGTGTGCCGAGTGCTGGAGCCGAGGAGGAGAACTGGAGACAGGCAGAGAAAAACATACCATAAACTTGAAGCTAGAGAACATCAAAATTGCTCAGCGCGGTGTAGCAGCTCGTGGCCTGACTGTACCCCGAGGTAGGTATCACAATCCTCTGGCGTCGGTCTTCTGTGAGACGCCAGTATTTAAGCCGGGCACAGCTGATGAGCCGATGAGCCACAGCTGCCAGCCAGCGATCTCCCCTGATCGGCTCCGCCCAGCCTGCAGTGAACAGAGACACACCCACCAAAACACAGAGACAGACAAAAACCCAAAAACCCAGTGAACAAAGTCTAGGACCCTCACATCCTAGCTCAAATTCCTCCAAGAGCCCAGTGGTTTTCGGTAAAAGATCTCTCAAATGCATTTTTCAGCGTGCCTATTCACCCAGATAGTCAGTTCTAGTTTGCTTTTGAGTTTGATGGCAAGCCCTACACTTTCACTTGGCTGTGTCAAGGTTATTGTGAATCTCCCACTATCTACAATCAGGCACTGTGTGAAAGTCTCTCTACGCTCACACTTACACCACAGTCAGTGCTTCTGCAATATGTTGGTGATCTATTAATAGCAGCACCACCATGAGAACAGTGTGTAACTGAAAACTCCAATTTGCAAAGCCGGAAGTCACTTTCTTAGTTTCTCTCATGTCAGGGAAAAACTCTTTTACCAAAATGCATTCAAGCTATTGTCTCCCTACCTAAACCCTCCACAAAGAAGCAAATGATGTCCTTTTTCGGTATGTGCTCCTATTGCAGGTGTTTCATCCCTAATTATTCTCAGATGGAGACACCTCTGCCGACGATGATTCACAGTCGAAACCTGTCATCGGCTGGCTGCATCACATGGATGCCCGAAGCCGAACAAGCGCTCAGTGACCTCAAAATGCGCGCTGCAGTCCCCTCCCACATTAGGTTTGCCTGATCCTGCAAAACCATTCACCCAAACAGTGGATGAAAAGGGAGGCTCCATGACTTCTGTCCTTCTCCAACGTCATGGCGATTAATGGCATCCGGTTGCATATTTTTCCTCTAAATTAGACCCAGTCTCAGCGGGTCTTCCTCGCTGCTTCCGCGCCGTGGCAGCCGCTGAAAAGGCTCTCACGGCCTCACGAGACATCGTTGGTTATTCACCACTCACACTTCTCGTTCCTCATGCAGTGTCTATCATTCTCCTTGAGCAGAAAACCTCTCATTTGTCAGCAGCTAGGTATCTCCGCTACCATACCGGCCTGTTAGACATGCCAAATGTAGAAATCAAACGGTGCAACACCCTCAATCCAGCCTCACTTCTCCCGTTGCCAGACGACGGCGAACCACATGACTGCATAACTGTCTTAGACACGATTTGCACACCTAGACCTGACCTCCTCAACATTCCACTGCCTAACCCTGACTTGATCCTGTATGTTGATGGTTCTGCGACTCGTGACTCTCGTACTGGAACTAATCTTGTGGGTTTTTCTG